TGTTAATTTGTTGTGAAATTTTATTAACAAATATTTATATTAGAATAAAATCATAAACCAGCTGTAGAATAATTGAATCAATTAAATATGTATTAATTTTTATAGTTAACTTTCAATGCTATTCTCTTTGTAGAGGCATTATTATTTATAAAATTTACAGTTAGAACTATTCAGTCCCAGACATTGTTAAACAACATATAGAAGAAATAATCTATCATTAAACGTGTGATTTTTATCCTAAATAAAATTTTCTTAATTTATAAAATAATATTTATGTTTATAGCCAACACAATAGTTATCTCTCTAAGCAAATTACTGGGTCGCGTGCCATGCCAAACATCACTCAGCACACTTATTCTGTGCTCAGTTGTCATTATGCACTCAAACATAAACACTCATTCGCAAACCAGCCAACAAACGTAACTAATAGTTAATGCACTATATGCGTCCATATATCCTTTTCAGTGTTTAGTAACCCCTTACATTTTATTTCAATAACCCACAGACCGAAATATCCTTTTTCTCTATTTTCTTTGTTACATTTAATAACAAAGTTTTCATATTAGTTACTGTTTTTGTTGTTGTCGTTGTTTGTGATCACGTCATGCGTGTCCTTTTAATATGCTCCTATTTTCTGACTGTGTTATTTTCCATGCATATACACACACACTTTTTTATTTTAATCTAATCCTTGATGGAGTCCTTTTCTACTTGTGGCATAGTGGCACTACATAAATATTAATAAAGTATCCTCTACTCATACTAATTTTTTTTTTTGCTATATAATCAAAAGGCAGGGTCCTTTTTTGCGCTTATAATGAAGGAAACTGAAAAGTGAACTATTGTCCTTTACTTTTATGCGCATTCAAGTGTATCCAGTTTTCTAAGGACTGGACTTTTTTACTTAACATTTCATTCTTTTTTTATTATTAAAAAGTTAAGGAAAATATACAAGAAAAAAATGTGATACGCAAAAATGAAAAAAGCCAGTGTTTAGACGAAGAGTAATGCGTTGGAGTGTGTCATAGGTTCGTGCGCCCCTATCAGGAAGTGTGATAAATTTCGAAATGAAAACTAACTAAGTTTTCCGTTACGTTAAGCCGCAATGACTATTTTATATAACCGTTGTGGCATGTCATCAGAAAAGTGTAGCAGTTGTAGAGTAAAGTTCGCTTAGTTTTTTCGCACCCTCAACTGACGACTCGTGCCAAACATGAGGACGAGGTAGGGGTACACCTGAAGGAGAAAGATATTTGGCAGCTGGTGCAATATTGACAGAACAATAAAATTTCTTTTTAAAAAACATTTAAACTAAAGTATAATTATAGCTTCAGACTTGGTTAGGCTTGGTTGGTCACATAGGTATAGTTCAATCTTAAAGAAAATGTTAATGTTAAATAGTAAGAAGTGCCAGAAAGAAGGAAATGTATAGAAGATACAGAAAGTAATATTACAATGTATTAAGTGCATAAAACTTAAAAGCTGTATTATATCGTACACTATTATATACACTAGAAAATGTTAATGTAAAATTGTAAAGAATACCAAACAAAATAAATGTATAGAAGACAGTTAGTTGTGGTGGGGGAAGGACAAGTACTTCTCAATTAACTAAAAAACCGTTTTGAATCCACAAAAACCTCAAAACCCTAATAGTGAGTAGTAGAAAGAAGGTCAGACTGAAACCAGCCAGAAGCATTTACAAAGGCAAGAATCTGACTGATGCTGATGCTGGAGATATCGTCGAGTGAATTGAAGAATGGGGTCCCCAGAAACTTAAACCTAGTTCTGGCCAGACCTGGACAAATACAATAAATGTTCTGGTGATATTTCTTCGAAAGCTGGTAGACACGCACTGTAAGAGGTACCACAGGGTAGGTCGAGTCTAGCTCCATGCCGTCCTATGGACCAATATATAGAAGATACTGAAAATAATATTACAATGTATTAACTGCAATTAAGACATATACCTATAAACCGAGATTTGTGGAAATCCTATGTAAATAGACAAAGTTCTTAATTTACCCCTTTCATGTAATGCTAGAACATGTCAATAATAAATAATGAATAATTATTAATAAAACTACAAAGCTATTATATGCATATATTATTAATATAAATTATTATTAAAAATTTTCATAATTAGAACAATAAATTATTAAAAAATTCATAATTAATCTGGGATTAAAAATTTTAGTATTCAATATTTTTTTTCCTGTTGAAATACACACCTAAATTTGATTCAAAATTGAAGAGATGTGCCTTAAGAGTTAATTGCAGTTCTCTTTATCTCGCAATTGAATATTTTCTCGGTTTCTATTGCTCTCAAGCTCAATTCATTTCGATTTAGTCATCGATTAATACAATTCAATGCGGTCTTTATTTATTTATATATTTCATTAAAATCATTGATTCAACTCTTTTCAATGCCTCCATGCGAAATCAGACACTATCCTCTTCACGAGGAAGAGAAATCTGTCAATGGAGCTGTTACAACTTTTCGATAATAACATTCGCATATCAAAGTCGTTGAAGTATCTAGGAGTCATCCTGGATAATGTACTGACCTGGAATGAACATGTTAATGAAAAGATCTAAAAAGCGAAGAGAGCCCTAATTCAGTGTAAGAGAGTGTGCGGAAGACGATGAGGATGTTACCAAAATCGATGCACTGGATCGATGTACGATGATGGTCAGACCTATTGTAACATATGCGTCAGTTGTCTGGTGGGGCGAAGTAAAACCGAAGTAAGATAGGGTCCAGCGGCTAGCCTGTGTTGGAATAACGGGCGCTATGCGCCCCACACCAGCACCGGCATTAGACCGGGTTTGCTTCAGTTGGATTTACATATAAAGAAAATGACGGCACTGGCAGCAATTCGCAAGAACCGAAGCTCCACGTGGAACAACTTCGGAAAATTGGTGGGTCATCGGAAAATTCTTGACCTCATCTAAACTGCGGTCAAGGAAACGCAGATGTCATTGGAGACTATGAGGAGAGCTTATGGGACAGAAGTGTCCTACAGAACACTGATAGTAGACGGCCTTCTATATAATGAATGTGAAAGGAGGAATGACATCTGCATCTCTACCGATGGCTCCTTGATGGATAGCAGAGCTGGTGCTGGGGTTTACTCGAAAGAGCTAAATCTAACGTGCACTCTACATCTAAGAATATATATTACTGAATCTCAGGCGGAACTTATGGCCATTTCACATGCTCTGACTCACTTATTGGATTGTCAGGTGTATCAGAAAAAGATTCTGATAGCGCTGGACAATGAAGCAGTTATCAAAAGCATGCAAAAGACATACATAGCTAACAGCTTAGTTCAAGAATGTGTAACCAAGCTCATGGGATATGCTTATGGAAATGAGGTAACGGTCAAATGGGTTAAGAGACACATCGGTAGTGAGCAAAACGAGAAGGCAGATAAACTTGCAAAGCAAGGATCAAGCCATAACTTCTGCGGCCCAGAACCCAGAATACCATTGGGTTAGAACATGATGACAGCCTATATCTATAAATGGATAACTTTACTGCATCTCAACAAATGGAGAGAGTTGAGCACTTGTAGGCAGACCAAACTCAGGGAAGCGATAAAAGTGCTTAGCTATCCGCGAAGCATTCTAAGCTGACTCACCTTACTAATTACTGGACATGTCATCTTCAAGTATCACCTCAAAAAGATAACTCTTGCTGAGGAATACACTTACAGACTATGTCTAGAAGACAAGGAGACAGCGGTGCATATATTGTGCCACTGTCCAGCACTAGCAAGTAGGAGGAAGATTGTCTTGGGACACCATTGGGTTGGTGATGACTTGGCAAACAACCTCAACCTAAATGAGCTGCTTGCATTTACAAGAGATGTAGTTATGCGAACGGAAGCCACTCCAGTTTTATCTGAATAACGACATCCGAGAATAGAAGGACGAAAAAGGACCCAAGTAGTTTCGGGATCTACTTCGGTTAATCCTTCACTTTAGTGGGGCCATTTGGTGAACGGTGCGCTGTCCCAACGTCCCACCATAATTAATACTCTTATATATATAAATAAAAAACCATTATCTGTTTAAAATTTTAACAAAAGATAGGACTTATTTTTTGAATTGCAGTATCATATTGGAATTAAAAAGATTACTACAATTATTAAAACGATATACGTAATTTTTTATAATGCATTAAAATAATGAAAGAAATAATTAATAAAAAATGTTCCCGAAATAACACCATATAATAACGAACAAAAAGTATCTTAAGCATCTAGAGCAGTTATAGATATATGTAACTTTTCTTTTATTTTCTAAGATAGTAGAATTTTACATGTAATTAACTTATGTTAAATTTTCTTATTTGAAATTGTTATAAAATCCAACAAATACTAAATTATATTTACCAAATGCTCTTAATATACATAAAGTGTATCTGTACAATCTTGACCAAGAATATGGTGTATAAGAAAAAAATTCTTTTATTAAAAATTAATGTTCCAACCAAAAATTACATTCCAAAAAGACTATATTAATGTATTCTATAAAACAACCAAGAGCAAATATAAAACATAATTTTAGTATTAAATTTTCTTTAGCACATATCCTTGTGATTACACTCCTGCAAGATTTATGGTATCTGATGCATAAAACCACATCATAATTTCTGCACTACAAAAGATTTGATCTGATAGAAGTTCATGATGCGATTAAAATTTAATATATCACAATTTTTATTACAAACTAAGCAAATACAAAGAAAATTAAAATTCTTGGGAATTACTTACTTATATCACTAATTAAATGTACATTGAAATTGTTATCTCAAGGCATACATTTACACACCTTAAAGGAATTTTCACCCCACAACAATCAAACTGAAATTTGACTTTAATGAAAATAACTTTTCAGCTTTGTCACGTTTTGACTTAACATAATTTTATATGTATTATGCATTATTTCCACTTAACACCCCTTTCTCCCCACCAGCTTTACTAATATTTACAATGGCGCTTGTGCAAATACCTGAAAAGATAAGGTAAATTCTTATCGCTTCAATAATTTTTGTTGATAAGTTAAACTTTTCAACCGAATTTTTAGTGAAATCTAAATATAATACGAGTGCAAACAAAGTATCTTTTAGGTACATGCATGTTATACGACGGGGTACGTAACATAATGTTTTTACTTGCTAGTTAAGGTTACTTTATTTTATTTAGTTCTTTATTTAATAAGTGTAGAAAAATCCAGTAAATGTTAAAATAAATATTTTTATTTTAAAAAATGAATAATAGAGATCTATTAATAGAGATCTATCAAAATTTTTCCAAATTAAACAATCAATTGCTGTTGGATCCAGATTTTCATCCCAGGCAGCGTACCCAGCTTTCTTACTTCGATATTAATGTTCAATTTTCCTTTTGAAATACCCAAAAAAAAAACAAAGAAAATGTGATCGAAAATTTAAGTAGGATTAAAAACAATAACTCTAAGCTAAAAAATAAATATTTGTACATCTCTTATAAATAAACATATATACCATAATATCAAGAACACTAAATACAAGAGGATTTCTCAACTCAAGCGATTTTATTTCTACATACATTAGGCCATTCAAAAGGAACGCGGAGATTTTGCATTGGCTGTGTAGAAATTGTTTATATTTAGTGTTCTTGATAATATACATTAGGTTCAACTTTCCAGAATATTTAAAGCGAACAAGTCAAAGTGTTTCTCGAAAGTCCACAACATTATTAGAAAGATAACCAACAACAAAAGCAAAAACACTTTCATATACTCTGTGACCAAAAATCTTAATATCAAACTTGTGCACTTAGAGTTAAAGGCTCCCTTAAAAAGATTTCATTCGAAAACCAAGTAAGACCTGGATCCAATTCTATAGACATGCTAACCAGAGATGTAGTAGTAGACATTAGAAGTAGACAATATTCACCACTGTAATTTGTTGAAATTTGTAACCTCTGGTTTCCGCAATAACTCCACTTAACAAGTTTGAAGACTTAAAATTAGTAATTTTATCAAAAGTATTTTACTCAAAGTATCTTATTGACAAAAGGGCTAGACAAATAGAAGTATTAGAACAGATATTCATAATATTATCCTGCAACAAGTAATAACAGGATTCTACCTTTTTGACACGCTGGTCAGATATTAGTATGGCAAACAGATATTCCAGATATTTTCCAGCAAATATAAATTGGAGGAACCACCACAGTTAAAAAATTTGACCTATTATCTAGGTCAGGGCTGACCAAAGCATGGCCTATGTTTTTTATCTACTACAATTACGCGAATTTTCTTTTGCTCTACTGTTAAAACCACATTATTTTATTTTTATAGTATACCAATTAAATAAATTTAAATTGATAAATTAATAATACTAAATTTAACAATATAACCGTGTTTTTATTTTTTCGAAAACAACTTTGAACTTATGTATTTGTTTTTGCGGCCCTCCAATATGTACAGTGATTGGTATTGGCCCGCGATCGCAACCGGTCTCGACAGCTCTGATCTAGATAATAACTCTGTATGCCCACTTTGTGTAATTTAAGGTGGTAAATTTAAGGTGGTTAAATGTGGTAAAAATATCAAACGTCCATTAATGAACACTGCTAGCGTAGATATAAAGAGATTATAGTGAAGTAGGATAAATGGAGAAGTATTGATGATTGATTAGAATCATAAGTGAACTAAAAAGTTTTAAGACAATATATTATTGAATATCAGTTATAGATTCTTCTTTTCCGGGAAACGTTACATGATTTGTATATACAGAGACATCAGAGGTTATATTTTTTTATGTGCGCTAGTCTCAATTGGAGTTAAGACGAAGTATTGTATATAAAAAGAATACGACTTGTTAGTAACTTTAGTCAAGTCTCCTCCTTTGTCATACTGAAAAAAGTTTATATACATATGTCACAATAATAATAATAACAGACTAAACATGAATAACATACCCATGGCTAAGAACATTAATGGACTGTGTAGTTATAATAATAATCTCTTATCATTATTACTCATTGAGCTTAAAGTTCATATCTGGAGAAGAAAAATAACAAAACACTGAATTTAGGTAGTTAGCCTCGTATAAAATATCTTATCAAAGTATCTAAACGAAACGTATAAGAATTTTAATGAAAAATCTAAGCTCGCTACCCTCACCAATTGTGCATGTGTGGCTCCGAAGTCGTGTATTGTTAAACCTTATTAAGAAAACTCATGCCTTCCGCATTTATACTTATTTAAGGAAGATTTTCGTGCTCATGTGAATGCGTGCATGAAACTATTGAAATTTTAAACTCCAATACTGTGAACTGAGGGGATCGTTCAGTTCTTTAATACGCGAAATGAACATTGGATTTGTTTCACATCTGACAGATACTTGCATGTTTGCACAACGTATCGCGATTGTTTACCCCAAAGTGTTAAACCATTGTGTTGACACATTTTGAAGGTGCAAAAAATAAAATAATATTTAAAAGAGTTTTTTTTACTAATAAAAGAATTTATTGTGTGATATAAGGTGCCCCATATTTTCTGCAAAAAAACATATTTCCGGAAATTACTTTATATTGAGTCACTGAAAATAAATTAAATTAACTTATAAATTTAAAGTAAAAAAATTGAATATTATATATTGTTCGAATATAAATCAATCGCTTTTATAAATATTGTAAATAGATTTATTTTTATAAAAAAATAATTGTTTCTTATAGTATTTATAAATAGTAATAATACATATATTAATTAATACAGATATATTCAATTTATATGTAGTATACGGCATAAAGTAGGCTAAGAAATTAAAAAGTAGGCACTTTTAAATTCTTTTGGGAACTATTATGTTCTGCGTTATGTTTGAAGAAATATTTCAAAACGAAATGTGTATTTTAAGCTATTTAAGCTAATTTTCCAGTCGAAACAGGTCCTTGGGTGCTATGAGCACTTCAGTTACTTGCGACTCGGAATAAAGTAAGTCTTTCCGACTTCCGCGGTCCGGGCCACAGCGGGGTCTTGGAAAATGAACAAGCTGAACTACATTGAAAACTGCTTTTGCAGGCCCTGAACCCATTTGTGGGTTAAACTGGGCCAATATAAAACAAATAATCAAGGAGAAGGAGAATCATATGCGGCTGGTGTACAGGAAAGACTTCCCAGAAGTTAGACAAAGCAAAGCACTGATCCAACCGTACTCCTACAAAAACATTCTTAAATTCTCAAAAGGTAATTTATGGTTGATAACAGATTTCATTACAGGACATTATGGTCTGAAATATCACCTTTATAGACTATATTTACTACGTTCATAGACTGCTAATACGGAATGCAGATTATGCCTCGAAAAAGAGGAAACTACTATGCATAATCTTTGTGATTGTTCAACTTTAATAACACATAGAAGAAACTTATTTCATACGGTATTTCTGTCACCAGAGCAGGTTAAGAACTCTTCTATAGATCTAGTTCTGGACCTTGTTCACAAAGCTTTAAATGGTTTTGAGTAATCAGAAGTGAAATTGTTAATAATCTAGTTATTCGAAATCATGTTTGGTATCAAATGGTTTACGGTAGATACCAGATTAATAGTGTCAATGTCATTTTTAGTAAATTCTATCAGTACCGTTTAGTTAAGCACTTTTAATTATCTTTTTTAACATTACTAAATAAAAAAAAAAACAAAGTACTTGCTGTCAACCAAAATGTTTCCTTAGCAACTTGAGATCTTTATCTGTATTGACAATAAGTTCGAAGTTATAAAAGATTGAGAAATAAAACCCCTCGACAAATGAAAACCTCGCTTTGTATGTCTCTTATCATGCTTGTCCAACTGTATGGTGCAGAAGGTTGTTTACAACAGTTATAAAAAGACATAGGAAACATTTGAGAAAAAGTTTCTTTAGAAGATCTCCATACGAGTTAATAAAGAATTAAATCGAATTAATCTTCGAATTAAATAGGATGATTAACTTTTTGAGCTACAATTTAACACTGATTTAGTTCATCGCATATAAATTTAGCGGTTTCGCTTGTTTGGTCATGAAATACGAATCGAAGAAAATTCCTGTAGTATGTTTGAATCGGTATTCGTTTGTGGAAAACTTGGTTGAAAACGTGATGCACTTTCGATGGAGGGAATACGAAAGCAACGATATAAAAGCACTCGATACTAACAACTGACGTATAACTATTAGTAAGACTGGCTGAAGGAGGCTACTGGACGCGGGCACAAACGACTCATGTTTGTAAAGGCCAACGAACTAAGTAAGTAATACTTACCCAGTGATACTTCACTTATTTAATATGATTAAAATATCTATGGTAAAAATTTATTTTTTGTAAATAAAGATAATTATTCAAAACTTTTCACTTTTAAAATATTCACTTACTAAGCGCAATTAAATTCCACATATCAATCACAAGAGGTATGAAATTAGTTTGTCGTTCACAAAAAATTGTTGCTCAAAAACTCAACTGTAGTTGAAATGAACATTAATGTTTAAATGTAAAATGTAGAGTTCATTTTGATGAAATCCCAAAGCAAATAATTTCGAATTCCACGCATTCTAATGAATTTAGTTGCAATTTCAACGAGATTTCTCATTTAGACAAACTTGATAATCTGCACATGGCAGTGCATTGAGCCAACACACACAGGGACATAAGAGTTTGCATGCTTAAGTTGCCAAAATTAAGCACCGACAAACAGATGAAAACATACAAACAAACATGCAGACTCCGACATTTAGATGAGGCAACTAGTCTGACGGACTAACCCACACAAATTAGAAGATATGCTCTGTCATTTCTAATTTAACATATGAGCGCACAGTAATTGCATTTACAGCTAAAATCGCATAACTTAACTTGAACTTAATTTAGTGCACATTACAATCCGAGCTGCATTTATAAATTGCAACAAACAAGAGAAGCAGAAAGTTGCTGCATAGTGTTAGGCGCACTATACTCATTTTTTAATTTAATTAATAATTTGGATGCTTTGTACACAAATAA